GGAAGCCTATCAGCGAAAGGGTGGTAATCCTCCGACTGAATCTACAACAGGCTAAAATGCTGACCTTCATACAGGTCTATTCGCCCAATTTAAAGGAAAAATATGAGTCCTTCCTTGAGGAAGCAGTGCGCTTTGTACGAAGTCCCGACTACGGGAAGCATCATTCTAATGGACGATGTAAATGCGCATGTTGGAGCAGACATTGAAAAATGGAGAAGCGTCATTGGAAAGAACGGCTCCAGTGACCTCAACAATAGTGGCATGAAGTTTTTGTGGCTCTATGCAAACAACGGACTGTCTATTACGAACATCTTCTTCGAGTATCGAAGCCGGTATCATTACAAGGAATACAGAAGCTTGTGCACTATAAGTAGTCAATGATCGACTTGATAATTGTATCGCCTGACTTATGACGCTCTGTAATGGATCCTCGGGTTAAGAGAGGCGGAGAGTTTTCAACCGATCACCACCTTGTTGTTGGCAAATGTGGTTTCCGCCCAGCCGAAGCATATCTGGCCAGATATTTGCAATATGCCAGATTACTAAGAGATCAAGCGGTGTACATGCGCTTTGTTGGCCGGTGTACAAGTGCTTTGTTGATCTAGAGATAGCTTATGACGCGATTCCGCGCAACAGTCTGTCCGTATGCCTGCAAACATATGCGATCGATGCCCAGTTGCTACGGGCCATCGAATTGCCATATGCTGATATCAGGTCAGAATCAATGGCGTTAGCTTGAGAGACCTTTCAGCATTGGCACTGGTCGTCGCCGAGGCTGCGTTCGGTCTCCTCTTCTGCTTGTGTTTTACATGGGTAGGACAGTCAGGCTTAGCCAGAGCGACGAGAGTATCAGTGTATGAAATGTCGAAGCGAGAAGGTTGTTGTGTGCAGACGACTGAGTTTTGTTGGCATCTTCAGCTGGAAAGGTCAGCAGCCGAGTGCGACGTGGCTGGTATACGTGCAGACGTATCTAAAACGAAAAGCCTAGTGCTCTCTTGTTCTGTTTCGCAGTGCTCTTTTCAGACAAACGGAGGAGCAATAGAGCAAGTAAAAAAGTTCAGGTACCTAGAGGTCATGTTTACTGATGGTGGAAAATTTGAGGAAGACATGGACCGGCGAATTGGAGTAGTCAGTGGCGTTCTGCATGAACTAATCCGACCCATTGTGACTAAAGCAGAGTTACGTGTGAAGACAAAGTTATTAGTGTTCAAGCCGATCATCATTCCCACGCTTTCCTACGGTCATGAATCGTGGACTGTAGCTGAAAAACCGGGTACAAACGGCTAAAATGAGCTTCCTGAGACGAATCTTTGCCCTTATGCCTTTCGACATGGTTCAGAGTACAGAAATTCTGGTGTACAGCCGCTGATTCTTCAGATTAAGAAGTCAGAGCTGCGATGGTTTGGGCACGTTTTGCAAATGCCTCCAGAAAGGAGGACGAGGCAACAATTCTTGCCCAGCTGACTGGCAGAAGGCCAAAGGTACAGGCACTATTCACCTGGTGCAAATATATGGAAGGAGTCTATTCCAGACACCAGTTGTCTTCTGCCGAGGCTCAAACTTTGGCGCAGGATCGGAAACTTTGGAAGCTGTGTCTGACATGTCTGCCTCCGCGACCCAAAAGGAGAAGCGGTTATGGATGAAGAAGATGAAGAGACAGACTTTACGTGACAGGCCTTTTTCAAGATAGGTGCAGCTATGCTAGCTGTAAGTTATCAATCAGTGTTTTACTACTGAACCTAAAAGGCAACAGTAGATGTCACTACTTAAGCTTCATCCTCTGCAAGCTCCATGACCCTGACGATGGGAACACGATTTAAGGGCAGAATGTCCAACCGCATTAGCATTCCGGAGATCGAGGAGATGTGAAGGGTGATTTGTGAGCCAATTATGTGACAAAGCACAAAATATGCAGTGGAATCAAAATAGGACAAATCACAGTCACAATCGCTTTGTTACATCCGATCAAAAATCACAAAAAACTACTAACCTGGCATAAAACACACGATCTTTCTGAAGACGAAAGCAGTACAGTCCGTCTTTTCTGTCAATCAGTTGTCTAATGTTGTCGCCGATGCTAAAACAAACAATGATTCAACGAAACATGAACTGAACTCATAAAATTATAATTTAAACATTAAAACTGTGGTTTTAAAAATAGGAAATATATTATACGGTCAATTATAAACAATCGAATGAAACAAAACCACTCTTCACTGAGAAAAGCAAAACTTCTAACGAAAGTGCATCTGCTGATTGTACTCAATCAAAGATTTCTTCTCCTTACCATCTAGCAGAATGAGATTTGGTGTGTCAGCCTCAACTTATAGCTACAGCAACCGCACTTCTGAAAGTGACGCATTTCAACGCCTTTACTGTAGCTTGTTATCGTTAACTGAGGTCAATCAATCAGTCATTCAATTTTGATGACCGTTTGTCCTTTCGGGTCGCAGAGGCAGACGCGTCAGACAGAGCTTCCAACGTTCCCGATCTTGTGCCAGAGTCTGAGCTGCGGCAGAAGATAAATGAAGTCTAGAACAGACTCCCTCCATATATTTGCACCGGGTTAATCTTGGCCGTCCCCTGGG